ATATATATATATATAATTCTAATTAATGGGTAACTTGTGAAAATTAGCTAGTGTTAAGGTTCGTGGATGGTGTGGCGAATACTTGAGAAATATGAGACATTAAGAGCTATTCTGTATGATATATAGTGTACTTACTTATTTCTCAGTTGATTTATGAGATTTTCCATCAAAAAATTACAGCAAATTATATATAAATTGGTTACTGTAATTCTGATAGTGTTCCAATGAATATGAATTTCTAACTGGTTGGATTTAATCCTTTCCTATCGTATCATTTCGACTATCGAAATAAGTCATTTTTAAATTTGTTCTCGTCTGCTTTTGTTTTTCACCTAAACATTTCATAACCTTCATTTTTTTTTCAAATTCACAGTCTGTAACTTGTTTTAAACGTGCAGTTTATCTAACACCATTCGATTGGAGAATATCAGTTAATCTGGGCATAATTTATATGCATACTTCACAATGGTTAAGTGCATTACAACATATCACTGCATCGATTAATTTGTTTAATTTTACGAAACAAAACTCAGTTCCTAATTGTACTACAAGTAATAATAAACTAACTCATGATATTAGTATGTTATTTTGTCTACTGGGTTATTGTTTAATCAAATTAAATGAATATTCCAAAGCATATGAAGCTTTTATGAATGCATATAAACAATGCAGGTGAGTACCGTATTATATATATATATATATATATATATATATATATATATATATATATATATATATATATATATATATATATATGGAGTATGGTATATTTGAAAGTTTTATCAACTTGTAATATTTCCAATTTCTAAACTTTCATTGAAACTTACTTTCTTATTTAATTTTGTTTAAATAAACTTGATATTAACAAAAGTTAATTCAAGTAGTATGTATTGTTACTAAAAGTCAGTCATTCAATTGACTGAATATTTGGTTTCCTAATTACCAAGATAGTTCATTATGTTGAACAGTAAACAGGTCAATTAAAAGCCATTGAATTGATTTTATTTTTGTATTTTTCCGGGCATGGCGTTAGGACATTATTCCTGGATTGTTAGGATTTTCTTTATTCCTTACCAAATAATGATTGTGTACTGTTAATATTTTAGTTGATCTTAAATTTTTTTTTATTGTGTAACAATTACTGGGCATGCTGGAGCGAACATCATTAAAGTATATTCATATTTATCCATTCAGTAATAATATTATGCGTTTCTTTGCATAGTTTTTCATGTTACTTTAAAGAATTCATCATTCATAAATAACTTTTTTTGATACACTCAACTATAGTATGTCACTGGATTTTCTCTTATCCAGGCCAGTTTGTATTATCACAAATTTTAAATTTAACAGGGATTGACTTTCTTAGTTTATATTACCTATGTTAGATAAATTAAGAAATTGATACATTTGAGGCTATTATTTTCATTCTGTCACGGCAAAATGATTCTTTTATGTTATCATAATGAATATTCACAGTACTAATCAGAGTTATTTTTACTGCTTGTTCTATGACATTAAATTCATTTACTTTGGAGTTTCTCGCTATATTCCTATCGATGGCCTGCTTCACTATCTGGGCTACCTGTTTCCTAACATCAAAACATTTCAACTAGTTACCTCTTCTTTCTATTCTAACGCGTCAATTATGTCCATTGATCACATAATCTATTAAGTCGTGTCTATAAAACGTTTGCCACCTATCTCCTCACAAGATATAAAGATGTGAAATCCCACAACTCACATTGGCTGACCTTGATGCATCAACAAGGAAACGTGTTAAAATATTCTATGCTAATAATTTCATATTCTACTGAACATATAATATTGAATAAAGGCATTATTATTATTATTTATCAGAAAAAAATCCGAACATTAATTTTCTCGATTCCTATATTTATAGTTTTATCCAGTGTTTATGATGTGAATATTTCTATGAGTACAATGTTTTTATTTAAAGTGAGATTTTCACACCTAAATTAATAAATTTGTCTTTCTCAATTATTTATGTTTTAGTAAAAATCCTTTAGTGATTTTGAATTGCACGAATTTTCTCGCTAAATCAAACGAAAAACTAACCAAGCAGATGTTTGTAAAATATCAAAAGATTACTTCAACCAGAGAATTCGAATTACCTTATTGGGTGGATAAAACTAAAGTAAGCAGATGCTCATAATTCTTACCGTTAACATGAACTTCTGAACTCACTACCGTTTCATGGCATGGGTGTTGTTTATATATATGCTTGAAATTTAAACCAAGTTAGTGCATACGGATAATCCGCTTAGGAGGATTGGAAAACTGTGAATGTAAACTAATGATACATTAAGGGTCCAGGATCTCAGGGGAACAAACGATGTTGGAACCTATTGTTGGTCACTGTCTACATTAATACCATAACACTTAACGTTGCTCCACTGCCTTGTGGATTTGACCTAGTGGTCAAGGGCTTAATGACTGCCACCTGAGAAAAATATCTGCTTTGGTTTGGGCACCTAGGTAGTAAGTATCACAGCCTACCATAAATTGAATGATTGTTTGCTGTCCAGCCGTTTCGTCTTTGTATCAGAAGTGCGCATTCAAGACCCCGACCGAAGCTGCTACCTTGACGTGGTGGTCGGGCTTGCCTACCGTGATGACCCAACCGAGCTATAGTGGCTGGAACATATGTCCCTGCAGGTCCTACCATGCCAGGCAGGTCGATTGGAGAACGATGAGACTAAAAGCAACTACTCAAGGTCTGAGGGCGAAGTCGTACTGCTGACTGTGATGGAGGGGTGTGACAGCAGTAAGGTGTTTCCCTCGGACAACCAGCATCTGCAGCGATGCTGCCTTCTCACAAGGAAGGAAGGGTTAGAAAAGGTCGACCCTAAAAATGTCACACCTCACCTTACCTCACGGATTTCCGTCTCCTTGGGTAAGGGTGCCCACTAAGGGCTTTCAAGAACGGAGCTAATCCTCAAAAAACGTTTCATAAAAAGGCCGTGCGTGACCGGCCTCAAGCAGTTGTCCTTTGGGGTCTGTGGTCACGCTCTCAGGTCTTTAAGACCAGCGCTAATCTACTTTCCTTTTCAGGTTACTCAAGAAACAACCTTCCACGGTGTGGGAAGTCAGGAAGTGACAACCGCCCTCATACCAGTAACAACACGCGAGACCAAATTGGTCAAAATCATTGAAGACCCCAACATGCGGGAATTGATCTCAATAAGACTCAGCAATCTCCACAATCCAATAATTAGAATTATGATGTGCTCACTAGTGACTAATTTCGTGAGGGGATTCCAGGAGTTCTAGTTGGAACCCGTGACCAGAAGAATTCAATCCTTTCGGGTGTGATGGGGTTACCCACCGAAGACGATGAATGATGATCGCTCAATATAGTCGGTTGATTGGAGTTGAACATGAACACCGTTGGATGCCGGTTCAGTGATCAGGAAGTTAGAATTTCTTGCGCAAGATCGAAAGTCGTTGTGTTCGTTTCTGGCTTGCGGGGTCATGGATCTGCTATGTTGAGAAGTTCCAAACAAGAATAGAACTCATGTCCTTTTGCTTCCAGATTTTTTATAGCGATTTTGTACTGATCGGTTAATGTGATTTCAATAAAACTCAACAATCTCCACAACCCTGTAATGAAAACTAAATTGAATAGGTCACTTAGTTTTTTTTTAAACCGAGTTATCGATATACAGTGACAAGCAGAAATTGACAAAATAATCGGTACATACGATTGATCAGGCAACGATTTTCGCTTGCAAGACATGTATACTTAGTTCATAATGTGCGTCTATAATTATTATCAAATATTACTAGGTCACCGTAGCTTTATTAAAACTTATAAATACTGTCACCTGTATTTTGGTATAAGTTTCTCCAAGTGAAACACCAATATGTCTAATATCATTCACATTATCATTTAGTGGAAAATCTCCATCATTGAATTATGTTGTAATTTACTGTTTCAGGTTGACAGGTTAGTTAACCAGCTGAAAACATATCTAAGAAATATTGAAACACACAATACTACAGAGAAACTAGACACAATACAAATTCCAACATTGTCCAATGGATATTCATAGTGTGAACATGGATGACTTTTTTTAAAAGAAAAACATTCTATTAGCTTTCAAAACTCGAATTTCAATAACTTAAAACTTTTAGCCCATCATAATGTTGAAATGTAAAATTTTAATTATTGAATTACTACTATTTGATTTTTCACAGTTTTTCCTTGCAAAATTCCTCACTGATCATTTTCTAGTGTTCGTTCCGGGTTTTTCTAATTTAAGCACTTTTGAAAGTTGAAATCAATAAAAATTTACAACCTCAGAATCATTATGATAATTGAGTTACAGTTTATATATATATACATACATATACCAAATTATTAATTAATATAGAGAACACATTCTTGGTTTAGATAGAAATGTATGTTTTTTGTTCAGTCAAAGTCATTAAAAACGTCGAAACTGGTAGATGAATCCCTCAGCACACTAGTCTGTAAAATGAATCGATTCAACTAGATGAAAACCAAAGTAGGTTTAGTAAAGATAGAAATATCGATGATGCTAAAAATATCAAGCATAGAAAATGTGATTCATGGAGAAACAGTTCATTTGTAGAACTAAACGTATCAAACAAATTCAAGACTCGTGATGTAAGAAGAGTAAAAAGTAAGTGCATCTACATTGTTTGAAGCTATTCTAAGCCATGTCCAACATCTCCAACGATTAGTCATGAACACTGAGTGTACCCCAGCAGTGAGTCTGAACCTAATGATTTGTCACAGACCAACAGCCAACGACTTCATATACTGACCTTATATTTTAATAGGTAACTCCTGATTTGCTTCCAATGTAAACCTGTGAATATCGGGCGTTGAGGTGTGAAGTGGACATTCGTGGCCTCTTCAATCGACTAACCATGTTTAATTAAAACCCCATGTCTAAACTTCAACTAATTCTCATGGTAATCCCAAAGAATCCTTGGAACACACTTATGAACATGCATTGTTAGCTTGTGAATACCCATTACTTTTAAAGAATATGTTTCATAGTCACAAATGTATATTTATTTATTCATGTGCAGAATTGGGCGATATTGACGGTAGGATAAAGATAGAGACTCACATGTGCAGTGATCCTCCGGAAAATGGTTTGAATGCTTGATTATGTACTTTTAATTCGGTTAATTAGTTTATGAAACTAAAAAGAATAATAATTCAAAGAAGAAATTTTTCTTACCCATAACTTCTTTATTCACTTAAGCTGTACAGTCGTGAATATAGGTAATTTTATTTTCTAAAATAGTAGTTTGTAGTAAAATAGAATGGTGTGAAATAATGATACAATAAACTTGGAGTTGTATCATGTCATGAAATAATAATAATAATGATAATCGGTTTGTGAAGAACGCTAGATTACAGATAATTGTCCCCTTTATACCTCTTCAAAGCAGAATAAAACAGAAGCTGTAATAATGGCCAGCTAATAGTTGCGAGATAGGTGAAATCGATTAGAATCAATAATGCAACAAAACACACACAATTTCAGACAAAACAGAAGCCGACGGATTATGGAAGGATTGAAAAAGAGTTTAAGACCATAGAACGGAACATACAGTTTCTTTAACAGAAACTGGTGGATAGCAGTAGCTGTACATAGCTTCTCCATTTGCATTCATTTTGCACCATATCTTCTGAACTGTATTTAAGATTTTAAAGGATGCTTCTAGTGAAGTGGAATCACTCAGTCAGCTACCACTTAGAACTTCGTGCATACGTACATCAGTTCAATTCGCCATACTACATTAGCACCAAGATGCAAATGTCAGTTCAAATTCCAGAGTAGTAGAAGTAATATAGAAGATTAACTATCGAAGATATAATTCAAGTCGTGTATCCAAGTGAAATAAATTCAACAAGAAAAAAGGTCATAAGGATTTCAGACGATTAGAATTTGAGAGAACAAAAATAGCGGATGCACCTGCGCTGTTGCAAACAATTTTGAGCCATGTCATTCAAAGAATAAACATCGGGTACGCTTGTCTCGCAGAGCCCAACCAGATAGTCCACGCCTACTTACTTGGCTCAGTACACTTTTCAGTGACTTAATGGATTTTTGCCATGTTTTGGTTTGGCCGCCCCTAACTTTCTCCCAACGTACCCCTACATCAGACCACACTAATCGTCGAGGCAGTCGATAGCTGAACATACGTGACACATGTCCCAACCACCTCAACTGATGAATATTTACTTTTTCATTCATTGATTTGTCATTCTTACCTAAATCCCTTTTACTCACACCAGCATTGCCTGATTGATGGTCTGGCGATGTACGAGCAATGACACCTATGATCGAAAACCAGTAACCTACGAATACTATGTATTCCTTGCGGCAAAGTTTCGTACCTGTATAGTAAGATGGAACGCAGCAAACTTGTCCTTTGGCAAGCAGACTGGTAGTTCGCCCATGCTGCATGTGACCCACATTAGCGAAAGCCGATCGAGCTTTCTGTATTCGAGCTGAGATTTCGTCAGACACCAGGCCATCAGTAGCAATCAGACTTTTCAGATAAGTAAAGCAGTCGACACGCTTAACTACTTCACTTCCTATCACCAGTTCAGGCATGTATACAGGCCAATCCTGAAGTGACATTTTGCATTTAGACGGAGAGAATTGTATCCCGAACATGCATGAATTGTTGCTTAGAGTAGCCAGAAAACACTGCATCTCAGCGTCTTCACCAAGTAGAACTATGTCATCAACGTATTCTAAGTCAACAAGGGAGTCTCCTGGTAGAGGCTCCGCCCCTGGAAAGTCAGACGAAGACAATTTTATCTCTAAAAGCATGTCTATAGTAAAGTGGACAAACCTGAACAACACCACTTGAAGTAATGGATTCCAATGACAGTTGACCATAAGCTCTAACTCCACCTTTAGTGTTCGAGTAGAGAGCTTGTATAAAGGTAATGTACTTCTTTGGTACACCTTTTTTAATGACAAACACTTCCACAGAACCTCACGATCAACAGAGCCAAATGCCACTTTAAGGTCCAGGAAGGCTACTATAGCGGCACGCCTAAATGTTTCTGTGTTTCAGGGCTTGTCGTAGTGTAAATATGTGGTCCAGTCTGGTTTTTCCGAGTCTTCCCTTCTCGAGGTCTAGTTAGGCGTCACTAGACACTATGTCAGTTAATCTGATTCCTCTGTGATTGTCACAAGAGCACTTTTGTCCTTTCTTATAGACTGAAACGATCAGTATTTGATACCAGTCAGATGGGATTACGCCCGAACCCCAAATTCTACCTAACATCTCAATCAATCTAACTGCTAATACTGGACTACCATCCTTAGGAATCTGTGGGTTGAGCCTGTCAGACCCTGCTGCTCTCGCTCGCTTCAGATTTCCTACAGCTTCTTTTTCAACTTCACTAAGAGTCGAACGACTTACATCAATTAGCCATTGAGATTGACTGAAATGTGGCTGAATGTCATTTGAACTGCTCTCCAAAATGTTTTGTCCGTCTGTCCAATCTCCTGTATTGAGAGTGAATAATAGTCCTGTCTCTATCTGAGAGAGTCTCGCTAAAAGTCAGATCCCTATTACCACTTTCTTTGATAAGTCTCAATAGTTATCTACTATTACCTATTGCCGCTGCCTTTCCCATTTCTCTTAGTCTTGCTACTCACCACTGTTCATGATCAATGCGCAGGCTTCTGTTCAGATGGTGGTTAAGATGAAACCACATCTCATCATGTTCGGAGCCAGAGAGGATGAGTTTCCGTGCATCTATCAGGTCGGCAGATACCACTGAGATTCGCGGCTACTCTTTAATCTTATGGATTACCTGACTTGCAGATATCATTGCTGTTTCTGCAGCTTTTCGAACATCATTCCAAGCTTCTTCAGGATGAGTCTGACTAACTGTTCTTCTAGTTGCTCCTGATATATATTCTTAGCCATGCTATTATTACGTAGAACCCTTAGAGGTTTCCTGGCAGTGTCTTTCCTAAGTCCATTAAGACGCAAACAAATACGCGCTCGCACTTGAGCATAGTCTGAATCTAAACAAGTGCTCCACAATGAGCGACAGTCTTCAGCAGAGCCTCCCCATCGATGGCTTATAGCGATGTGATCTAGTTGGGTCGGTTTTGGGTGTGGCCAAGTCGAGATGTTTTACTTATGCTTCAAGTTAGTATTTGCTAGAAATAGGCGCTTATCGGAGCATGGCTGCAGCAGACGGTCGCTATTATCTGCTCTTTGAGCCGTGACGCTATATGATCCACCCAGTTGTCTTTCCTTCTCCCTTAGTCTACCTACTTGAGCATTGAGGTCACCAGCCACTATTAATATATCAGAGCGTCTAACGTTTTGAGGAGTTCTGAAAGCTTTCTGTAAAACTCATCTTTTAACTCATCCGGACTGCAGTCAGTGCGAGCGTAGGCAGAGACAACAAAGAGGTAACGGCGAGTTTCCATCTTTACGAGTCCTTACTGTCCTGTTTAGTCAGACAGCGTATAGGCAACTGTCCACTGGGACCCAGTCTCAGGGAGCTAGTTCTACCTTAGGACTTACTACTATACCTACACCAGCGAGACGACGGGAAACGGCAGTGCGGTCTCCAAATATACGGAGCATAAACCGATTGGGCTCTTTATCTGGACAAGGTAAAACCAAATTAATGATTCTACTCCGATCGTGTATGCGCGTTTCGGAGACTCAGCATTCATTGATAGTGTGGGACTCCAAAGTCCTAGCTTAGGTAGCCTGTTTTCCTATTTGGCACAAGGTTCTAACATGAAAGGCATCAATATCTAGTGTAGGGTGGGGCTTCAGGAGACTAGGAATAACGTTTCGTGAGCTCGAACCGTTCGTATTGGCGGTGCTGTGTGATAAAATAGTGAGAAGGGTCAGCCGTGTCGATAAGAGAGATATTATGGGGTGTAGGAAGGATTTGAATGGGACTAATTCGGTCTCGTGTGCTATTACAGGTATGAGAGCTGCCCACACCGTCGGAGTTTCTTGAGGGATTTTAAAAGGAAGGTGGATTAGTGTTGGTCTTAGTGACCTGGGAGCGTGATCTCAGAGTCTGAGGGACAACTGCTTGAGGCCAGTCATGCACGGCATTTTCATGAGACATTTTGAAAGTGTTAGCTACGCTCTTCAAGTGGCCTTATCGCTGGAGACGGAAATCCATGGGGCGAGCTGAGGTGTGACATTTTAGGGTCGACCTTTTCTAACTCATTCCTTCCTTATGTGAAGGCAGCATCGCTGCAGATGCTGGCTGTTTGCGCGACACACTTTATTGCTGTAAC